TAAAGATTTTGAAGGAATATCGATTAGAAATCTCTGAGGTGAGAAGGTTGATCTGTTTCTCCGGCCCCGAGCCAACGGACTTGATTTAGGCGAGTTTCATATGGGTAATCATGGAATAAAATCGTTATTCAATGATTTCTTGTGAAATACAGAAAATATTCTTCCCTTGAACGTCTGTATTTCACTCTGCTAGCGCATCGTGAAATACGACCTTCTCGGGAAGAATATTTTCTGTATTTCACTCGAATCATTGAATAACTTATATTATTATATCACTATCTAGCTAGCGACAGTATGATTGGTCAAAACCGTGTCACATGTCGTGGGATATCTGGCGATATTCAATGGCAATGCTAATCAGATAAGACAACTAGCGATATCCCACGCTCCCGGGAATTTTCAAAGAATTTGTTTTCTTTCAGTGTAAATAATTTAGTTCAGTGTAAGTCAAAATGGCAGACGAACCGAGTGGATTCGTAAAAATATCTGAAGACTTAATGAATTAATAATATAAGGGATGTTAAGCTAGACAGTGAATAATAAAACAAATATTTCACTCTATTTTCGGTGAATACCTGTAGCACTTTCACAAGGTGATATTCCACTTGCCCTTCGGGCTTCGTGGAATATCACTTGTGAAAGATGTACAGGTATTCACCTCAATAGAGTGAAATATTTGTTCAATATTCAATGATGGGACATAACTGCTAAATATTGGACCAAAGGCCAAAGGCCCTAGGTCCAATATTTCACTATTTTACCCGCAGAAATGACGTTATTAGTATTATTACCACCATTTATTACCGATACCAGGGCTGAAATGGTAAAAACTGTCTGTCCGCTAAGCGAAATTATACGCACTGAACGATATCTCATTTCCAACATTGCCGGGCTGAAATATCATTACTGGCCCGCCACTATGACGTCACATATTGCTCAGGTCAATGTAGTAAAATAAACGCATTCAATTCTACTTATACCCCAAGAACGGCCGGCAAGGTAGTAATAATGCCCATTGATGCAATATCAGACTTGACTTAATATTGAATTTACGATTCGTTTTGCTTCATCATGATGATTAAAAATCATTATGAGAAATCATATTACATATATATATAATTACCGTATAGCTATTGTACTCATATTAGTGAAACTATAATCTTAGGCCTACTTAGGTCCAAAGCCTTCTCTATATTCCGGCTTTGAGTGACTGTTTACCGCCGCCCTGATATTCAGTTCATGTAAATCATGGTGACACACGCACAGTTGTTATGGCACAATTATATGAAACATACCTTTATGTACACATTTGCAGAATATCAGCTTTTATCCAATGGTTACAAGGATATACAGGGTGTCTCAAAAAATGTACCCAAAAGTATATCAACAGCACAGATATACCAATCAATATTTTCAGACATTTTTTGCATGGTCATATAGCCAAAACATGAAAGTTTCCTGCCCAATACACCATTTTATTTCAGTTTTGCCTTTTTGGTGCTTCAGCCCTTTACCTTTTACACCACATAATCAATGTAACCTCATATTTTTTAATTATGTGCAGACTATTTTACTTCCATGATTAATATGTCACAATGCTATTTAATGTACTTAAAGCATTTAAAGTACATAATATGTTTTAAAATGTAGTAATAGTTCAATAAGGTCATTTCAAAGGGCAATATAGTAAAATATTGAACCAAGGGCAGAAGGCCCAAGGTCCAATATTTCACTATTTTGCCCGCAGAAATGACGTTATTAGTATTATTACCACCATTTATGCCCAGGGCTGAAATAGCAAGAACAGACTGCCACTGAACGAAAATTATAAGCACTTAACGATATCTAACTTCCCGGGGAACAGTGCCGGGCTGTTAATCCAATATTGGCCCGCCACTATGGCCCGCCACTTTGACGTCACATATTGCTCAGGTCTATATAGCAAAATAAAAGCCTTCTAAACTAGCACTAATACCCCTAGAACAGGCTCGGTAAGGTGGTTATAATCAAGAAATATAGACCGATTAGCAGGGGCTTGTGGAATACACCCCGCAGGGCTAGGCACAAACGTTTTCTGTACCCCGAACGAGTGGTTCGAAAGCTTTTGTACCTAGCCCTATTGGGTTGTAATCGACGACACTACACCTGCTCTGAGGTCTATATTACGATTCGAACATGAAAATTCACCAAAATGTTTCGAATATTCATTATACCCCGCCATTACTACGGCCCGCCGTTATGACGTAACACAATTACTCGTATTACCAAGAGTATTGTTCGCGAATATACAACGGGTGAAATTTTGACTTTGTTTACAGTTTATAGAAGGCGTGAATACAGTCATGCTCAAATATTCATAATGGTCCGCCATTACTACGGCTCGCCGTTATGACGTCACACATTACTCGTATTACCAGGGGTATTGTTCGCGAATATACACCGGGTGAAATTTTGACTTTGTTTACAGTTTATAGAAGGCGTGAATACAGTCATGTTCAAATATTCATAATGGTCCGCCATTACTACGGCTCGCCGTTATGACGTCACACATTACTCGTATTACCAGGGGTATTGTTCGCGAATATAACCCGGGTGAAATGTTTACTTTGTTCACAGTTTATAGAAGGCGTGAATGCAGTCATGTTCGAATATAGAATATGTAGTGTGATGTAAACTCGGAATATTACAGCACTCTCTGGGACATAGTGTATATTTCTGATGGTTTATATCATGACCGAGCTATTAAGAGTACATATGTAAAGGATATAAATTTTTAAAGTGAAACACATTAAATATATGTATACTAATATCCTAGTGATATGATCGTCTTCGTGAAGGGCCAATTTGGAGAACGGAAGTTTGATGTAGTTTTATTTTGGGGAGAGTAACTTATGTTGCTTAGGTAACATAAGCCAAGGGCCTCATAATAATCCTGCTTTTACTTTGTGTAGCGAAAACGATCATATATTAAATTGTATTTATTAGTAGTAGAGACGTCTATAATCGTATAAACTGAAAGTGTTCCATTATATCCTTGCTCTGTATTTCTATGTGAGTGCATACTTGTTGTATTGAACTTTAATTTGAAGAAACATATTGTATGGTGGTGATTAGTAATAATGGTTATTTTTCATTTTAAAAATTGTTGTAAAACACAATGTAAATTATGATTTATTTTCAATGCATTTTGTGGTTTTCACATTACAACTGCACTCTTTGTTTAATTTAGTTTAATCTGATGTGGAGATTTTACTAGGGCATATTGTATGGATCAAACTTTAAAAGTGTTACTTTTATCAACTTTTCTTATACTGTGTAGGCCCGTAGCCAGGGGGGGGGGGCAAAATTTCTTTCAAAATCATGCAGTTTTTCGCCATTCTTTCTAATATTGTTTGAGTGACTTTTGGCCAAATTTGCCAAAGTGACCCCCCCCCTAGATTTTTTGGGAAAAGTGAACCCCCCCCCCCTTTGGAAAATTCTTGCTACGGGCCTGCTGTTATAAGAAAAAGAGGCGGTCTTAACATCCTTTTGTTTCTGGTTAAGAAAGCTTCATTGTTTTAATAATACAGTCACTTTTTCGGACATTTTTGGCTAAGCAACTTTAATAATTATAATTTAGACGCAAACTTCAAAACTACATAACTAATTATAAAATTCTAAATTATATAAAAAACATCAGCATCTGCTGAGAACCAGGATAAATCATCATGTCACTTTTCATCATTAAATAGGATTTATCCTGAGCATTATAATAAAATATTGGAACATTATTTCATGGGCTTATGTTGAATTTTATATTGGAATCTGAACCTCTTAACAATACGAAAGATCAATCACTCGGAGATAGAAACAGTTCAACAGTGATACTGGAGATTAATAAAAAGAAAACACTTGCTTATTGTCATAAAATATTCAAAAGCAAATTGTATATAAAAATTGTCATACCAAGAAGCATACTGTGGACACAAATCTATCAAACAAACGGTTTGAAAAATCAGTACTTGCCAAAGATCCCAACCCCACAACAGAATCCTTTACATTGCTAGCGTACAAATAATAAAAATGATGGCCGTCATGTTATTTGTCATGTTGGTCGTTTGTCATGTTAGTCATTTATCATGTTAGTCATTTGTCACATGTTAGTCATTTGTCATATGTTAGTCATTTGTCATGTTAGTCATTTGTCATGTTAGTCATTTGTCATGTCAGTCATTTGTCATGTTAGTTATTTGTCACATGTTAGTCATTTGTCACATGTAAGTCATTTGTCATATGTTAGTTATTTGTCACATGTTAGTCATTTGTCACATGTTAGTCATTTGTCATGTTAGTCATTTGTCATATGTTAGTCATTTGTCACATGTTAGTCATTTGTCACATGTTAGTCATTTGTCATGATAGTCATTTGCCATATGTTAGTCATTTGTCACATGTTAGTCATTTGTCATGTTAGTCATTTGTCATATGTTAGTCATTTGTCTTGTTATGAATCATAGTCGCTATGTCCGAGACGTTTTATGTCACAGCCAGAAGTGTTATGGATTTAGTCTTCAACTTTTTTGTGGACGGTGTTGGGATGTTAGAGTTCGGCGGTTCGGCAGCCTGTCACAAAACAACTTCTCAAATGATCGTAGAAAACCTGCATTCATACTTTCACTACTGACCACGTTTTTTGTACCAAAATTTTGGTTTGGAACGTGCGTGACGAGTTTGACCCTAAAATGATAATTTCCATGGGCATTTACGCACGTGTAAGGTATATTGCCGGAGAGAAGACATATACTATTTAAAGAAAATAACTAAATTCGAAGTTTCGAAAAATAACATTTTGAAATGAATTGAAAAAATGTTTTCATTCATGGTATCAGATCTTGATTACGTGCATGTAATTTTTTATCATCTCTAGTTTACGCAACCGACTGGCACACTGACCTACTTACCACTTATAATCACAAAGTTTGTTACCAAAATTCGTTTTATATCGAACAAAAAACAGGTAATTTTGTATGTTTAAATATCTAATTCGTTCTCCATTAAATTTACAAAAATATAGCAAGTTAATCACGTTCAAGGAAAGGTGAATTGTCCCAATACGGCGTGGTGATCGGAGAGATGGGTCAACTGTTTGGTTTCAGCGCAATCTGGGTCATTGGGGAAGACGTAGTCACCGATTAAAGAAGGGCAGTTGAAACACCAGCACATAGTTACAGGTTGGTCTGAGGTGATAGCCACGGCCTGCATACTGGACTGAGAGGGTACAAGATGGTTGTTACTGTAGATGACGTAATCGAGCCAGGAACGAGGGTTATTTGGGTATGCCGCATTGACGAAATCATTCGTCTGGGGATCATACGTGACATTGAGAGCTCCAACGGTGGCTGGCTGCGTGGATTGGAGAATCGCAGCGATGTTAGCCATGTGACCGGGTTTGACGTTTCTATCTGCGTTGAAATCGCCGGAAAAGATGACAGGCTCGGAAGCGCTGATGCCGAGTCCCGCTGCAAAATCAAACATCTCTTGGGCTTGCTGCTCACGTACAGTGTCATACTCTTCAGTATCATCCCAAGCCTGCATGTGCGTTCCAAATATGTTATAAATTCTTGACACATCGTTGACTGTTTTCTCAATTTGGGCATAACCTATACCTTTGGCAGCCAGAGAGTCGGCTTCTATATCGACATAATTTTCGAAAATGTGCTGTTCTATGGCCATAATAGGCCATCGTGAAGCTACGAAAATTCCGCCATTTTCAATGGTTGGGTCATCAATCTCGAAATCTACGGTTTCTGTAATATGTTGAAAGCCATTGTGGAATAACAGATCCCTAAAATCAAGACCCTCCAGGCTGTCCCAACAACCGCCCATAAACGCCTCTTGGAAGACAAACACATCCGCTTCAGGAAATAGTTCCACCAACTTCCTAGGTATTCGACAAGTGCGCTCACGTTGACCATCCATACTTACGGAATGATCTCTCTCGGCTACGTTATATGTCACAACCTGTAGCTGGTTGGCGGGGGAGGGGGCACCAAGCGGGGGAGGTACCTTGGATAGACATCTGTGTTTTGTACCCGATGCACACCAACCAGTAGAGAACTCTCCTTGGGGATGGCTAACATCATAGTCAAGATCAAAGTAGGTCTGGCAGTCAGTGGTTTGCCGATCACAAACTGGGTCGTCACCTGCACGGGGATAAATGTGTTGGTGTAATTTAATGTGCCTATATATAATGGCCATCTCATTGGGCATATTGTTCATTTATATGTAGGAAAACTGGAATGACTGATGCTAAAACATATCATTACATATTTGTTTTATGTAAATCACATTAAAACATGCAATAATGACAACTGTGCATTACTTAAATAGTAATGAATTGTAATGGACCAATCAAGAGCTATGTTATTTGATATGCATGGTTTTGATTTTTTCTAGAATAAGACCACACGTTGTGCCCATGCAAAACGTGATCAATTGAATTATAAATAGAATTATATTTCTAAATTTTAGAAATATTACATTAAAATATTTTTTTAAACTACATCGCCTTTCATCACGTTTGGGGGCTACATAATGCTAAATTGAGAGTAAAATCTAGCAAATGTCCTTTCAAATCTATTTCAGGATACAAATAGTATATCCTATTTCGAGACTGGGATTTTAGGTTGTGTTTCTGACTGTTCCTGCATATTGTATGACATAATGGAATTGAATTTTCACATGAAAGTTACGATTCAACACATGTTTAAATTGAATATTGCAATCAGTTGGCACATTACTTTAAAACATTTGACGATAGGTGGCAGTACTTGATCAATTGCCCGTATTTTTATGTTATTTAATACTAATTACCTATCCAGACAAAAGGTCTTGTAGCTACTGGAACATCTGCCACACATATCCCAGCGTAGGGGTTACATTCGGAATTGTTGACGCAAATGTCCCATTCATATTCGCATTCATCTCCCGGGCCTTGTCCGTAGCTTGGTATTATTAACAGAAATAGAGCACCCAAGCACAAGAGAGCTAGCCAAGTCGAACTCATGGTAAATGTTTTTCAAAGGATGACTGAATTTTTTAAATTGAGAATAGGTGTATTTTTATCAAAATTATCGTTTTATCAGAGAGAACCTCACATCTGTTCGTTCATTGTAACACCCATGATTGAGGTAAAGTACATAGGTACACTCCCCTCTATAAGTTTGGTAACCAGAGGCAACTTTTTTGATCACTTATTAACGGCTTTTTACGTTTGGTAATTTAAAAAGAGATTCGTCAGTTTTGTCATTAACCAAACTGTTGTAATTATCGAATAAAATAAAGATCCAAACACTGTACTGACTTGAAATGCTTTCCAAAGAAAACTTCCGCTTGCCAAACTTTTGGAAGGGAGTGTAAATTACACTAACTCGATTTAAGTCACCAAGTACGTAGGTTTCTGTACTTTTATTCGGCGTCGCCAGACGGGCAGGCGGGGTAATTGTATCACCAAAAACAACATACATGTAGCTTTCAGATGTTTTAAGCTAAAACAGCGGAAATGACGTCAAAACGTCGCGTTCAAACCCCGGTGAAGTCATTTGTTTGTTTTTCTTCATTTTTGAATCACATAACATTTTCTTCTTGTCTTGAGGCTATGTATGGCACATTGTCATATTTATGTATTCCTTTCAAGGAGGTTAAAGTAGAATGATCGTATATCACTTTAACTTTATTGATTATATATGTTTCAATTAGAAAATACATGTAGGTCCAAAATATTTTTATTGAAACAAAAATATTACAATATTCCGTCATGGTCTATATTGTTTGACCGAATATAAGGATAACTACGTATCAGAATGTTTGACGACCAATTCAAGACGTAGCTTTTTTAATCATGTGATTCACATAGTAACTTAAACAACATCGTCTGGCCGGTTGCTTTCCTCATAAATGAAATTACGAACAGTGTGGCATGGACAATGGGACATAGAGAGACGAGAATTTTGTCTGTATGGTACCCCTTTCGGGGTTAGAAAAATAAGTCTATAGACTCATTATAATGTTCCTCTCCACGGAAATCTTTAGTAAAAGGCGAAAGATTTATGCGTGGATGAGGAGAAACCAGAGTAACACAACAGTGGATGTAACAAAATTTGAGTAAAAAATAAAATAAGATAATATGGTGTTTTTGATTGTTTTGCTTGATTTGCTTTTATTGATAGCTTCTTAAAATGTTCAATAAGGAGAAAAAAACAAATTGTTTTATCTTTTTGCCCGGTAACAATTTTGTAAACAATTTGGTATTAAACAAAACCTATTCATGAGCAGGTGGGGATAACAAGAGTAAAAATCCTTTGGTCGCGTCATGAACATTAAAAATGTATATTCTACTATATAAAGCAAACATGTATCAGATTGGGTGAGACATCTATATATACATAAACTACTACTAGTATGTACATGGGAAAATAAATACAATTTTGCTATTGTTCGGTATTAAGGGCGTACTTGCTTTAAACTAATATAACAATATCACACTACTATACCTTGCATTTGGTGTTCATGAGCAACCCATTTGGCTTATTAGTAATGATTATGTATTTGTTTTTATTTGTCTGTTCCTTATGAATGGTTTATCGGTTGAAAATTAGATGCTAGTAAGGCACTTTCAAAAATATATTAAACAATTCAATTAGACAAACAAAGTATCTTATGCATTTCTAGGTGTTAGGTATAGTAGTGTGAATATATAAAACATGAAACGGAATGTTATTGGACCGGATAAATGACGTCATTAGCTACTAGTGGTGTCAATTAACTGCTTGAGCATTAACCGGTTAACCGGGTGTTTTTACCGGTAAAAGTCGGTTAACCGGCGGGAAATTTGAACTGGTATTAAATAGCTAGCAACCACGCAACAACCACCCAGTGACAGCATTAAATATTTTTTAGAAAGGTCAATGTTTTAGTACATTGTTTTAATTGCTCTTGGTAGTAAAGAAGAAGTATCATCAAATTATCAAAATTTAATAGGTATTTGAAGTGTCATTGCCTTTAAATATTATTCTATTATCAAATAAAGTATTTGAAATGGACTATAATGCAAACAATGTGTGTTTGTCCATCTTGGCATAACTTCTAATGATGCGGAAATTTTCCTTGACTTTGGAACAAAAGTCTGTAGAGTATGTTAAGTCACCTCTACCATTTTAATCTTAGTTAAAATGACTTCAATCGCTAGCAGGTGACGATCACACAGGGGAGGTGGACCAGAGATATGTGTTGGCAAGATCACTCAAAGCCGAGAACTCTACGTGAATAAAGGCAAGGAGATACGACCACTTTGTTTGGTACCGCTTTCGGGGTTAGAAAAATTATTTTATAGACTCATTATAATGTTCCTCTCCACGGAAATCTTTAGTAAAAGGCGAAAGATTTATGCGTGGATGAAGAGAAACCAGAGTAACAAGAAAAAGGATTTAACACAGCATCGACCCTCACTAAGCATTGTAATGTGAAACGTATTGAATATGGTTCAACAATATATAAGTCCATGATAGAACCTGCCTTACTTCACGGTTCCCCGATTTGGTCAGCTTTAACAAATGAAAGCAGGAAAACCCTTGAATCTATTCAATTTAAGGTTGGGCAAGCAGTGTTCCAGCTAAGGGGTAAGCCAGCCAGTTCTGCATTATTAGGTGACCTTGGTTGGCACCCAATTGACTCTCTTGCTGAAAAACGTTCTATAGATTTCTTTAGGTACCTCACATTTAAAATACCACCATCATCCCTACCACACAAGATTCTAAATGCACTAATGATCCAATTTACTGAAAACAAAGAAGGCCCTTGGAAGTACATCTCAACCATTCATAAGGTATTAAGTGATAGAGATCTTGATGATGTCATCTTTAGAAATGATGGTGATTGGTATGCGTCATACCTTAAAATTCGCAAATGTGAAAACGACGTAAAATTCCACTCAGAAGTTTCAAAATATAGTTCACTATCACTTTATTCCAGTTTCAAAAATCATCCATATCTAGAAAATTATCTGAAGAATGACTATGACTTTTACGGGTGCAAACTGAAGTTCATGGCCCGAGCTAATATTTTTGTATTAGAAAGCAATTATGAATCATGGGGCATGAGTGATGGATTTTGTTCATTCTGTAATGCAAAAAAGAAGGACACTGTTCAACACAGAATTTTGGAATGTACTCATTTTAATGATGAGCGCCAATCACTTTATTTTAGTATAAGACAGAAATGTAATGAAATTATATTTTCCTATTTTATCTCTGCAAGTTCAGAAAAGAAACTTGGTTTTATTTTAGGTGATGATGTATCTTTATTATGGGGGCATGATCAATTCAAAAACGTTGACATGATTGTAAAAACATTTTTAAGTAAAGTATACAAGCCTAGAGATACAAGTGTGACTTAATCCCACACATCTAATGTTCGGTACTTTGTTTTAAATACTGTAACATGTTTTAGACGCACCTATAATAATTTAATTTTAGTGTGCCATCGTTTCAAAGATGTAGTTTCTAAATAAATAATAAATAAATAAAATAAACAAAAATAGAATAAAAGAAAAATTAAGATAATATGGTGTTGTGCCTGTTGTTGTCTTTTATTGATAGCTTTTTAAAATGTTCAAGAAAAAGAAAATATCAATTGACTTATCTTTTCACCAGGTAACAATTTGGTTAACAATTTAGTATTAAGCAAAACCTAAGTCACGAACAGATAAAGCTAACAGGAGTAAAAAAACTTTTGGTTTTGTCATGGACAATAGAAATGTAATATACTGTACTTCTACAAAGCATCAACATATATCCGATTTAAGAGACATCTATATATATACATGTACATACATGGGGAAATACAATAAAATTTGCTACTGTTCGTTGTCACGGGCCGGGTTGTCATCGAAAGATTTGCCACGCTTTGCTTTTCTTATTGGGGAGCATCACTGGGGAGTATCGTGATGCAACAACACCGTGTTGTTGCATCAAGATGGCCAGACTTCCGGTGATAGATTTTCGTACGATATTATGTTTCCCCAATTTAAACCCATTTCTAGGACGAGTTGCTCAACAACCATACACGTGCAGTTAGCGCACGATCTATATTTAAAGAAACTGTCATTAGTATACAGGTACCATCACCAAGAAGCAATAAGTTCACGGTTTTAGTTCCTCACTATTGATGCAACAACACCAAACCGTAGATGCAACAACACTCCTCTAGATTTGAGCAATGATGCAGCAACACCGATTAATAATAATTTCAGAAGACCATAAATCTCGAGAGGAACAGATTTTTAAATGCTACTATTGCAACACCGTTACCCATTACCCATATATATTTGCGTTCTTCTCAAGGCATTCAAAATACGTCCTGCGGGCGAAATATGTATTTTCACAAATTTATACTTTTAAATATCATAATGTACTGGACGTTGTTCTATAACATAGTTCAATCGCCTTTAACATGGAAAGCTTTAGTAACCCAATCTATTTTCATAAACCACTGTTCCATAGCTTGATGACCCTGATTCCAGTTAGTATCATAGAAAATGGTGGACAAACATCTTTCGTTCTCGAAACATGACGAGCTATTGGAAATTATCTGTCATCCATCTGTGGAACAGTGATAAACTGTTATAACTAAAACTGTTTAACTGCGACATTCATGAGCTTATGTTGATGGGATGATTGCTTCATCTATGATATAATATGATATGATTCTTTATTTCCTCCAATTTGGAGAGTCAACGTGTAAAAACGTCTAATTGACTTTATTAGAGAGGCCGTTTAGTTACACGTTTAATGGAAATCTTGTACGACGCACATGTAGAATTATTGCTCTCTTTGGATTCCTTCTCTCCGACTGAGTAAAAAGGTATTGTCTCTCGGAATAAAACCAATATTGAATCCCTCTCAGTAAATAATCTTTATATAATAGCATTGTATAACTGCAATATCATTAAACCAACACTCATCCTATACATCTCTTGAGAACGATGTACAACTCCTGGATAGCGTAAACTCCTGAGCAGCGTATACAACTC